ATTCAATTTTATAAAGTGTTCTGAGATGATTTTTATTTAGGGCCGTTTTACGTGCAAATCGTCCCCCCTCCTTTGAATCTGCATGGGATTATATTTATTATCCATACATTCGTTCTTTTATACTGTTTAAAGAAATAAAAAACATCGTCACAGCACTACATATATGAACATTAGACAAAAATAAAAAGCTCACTGATACACTCATTAGAAAAAAAACCGTATATTGAAAAACAGAAAGAAATATTAAATGATATACATTGTGTAATTTATAATCTATAGAGATTTTAAGTTGTGCTCGATGATGAATTTACTTCTCTATGTCTTTCTGTTTTTGGTAAAGGTGTTTGTGTTATTATATTTTGATCAACAAGTACATGAACAAGTTGAGCTTCAATAACAGGTAATTCAAAATGATGAAAAAAATAACACATTGAATGAGCAATAAAACAACAACTTGTTGTTAATGCTAAACCTGAATATTGACCATTATATCGAGCATGATATACATAAAAGGGTGTGGGTGTGGGTGTGGGCGTGGGTGGGTGTGGGTGTGGGTGGATGTGGGTGTGGGTGTGGGTGTGGGTGTGTGGGTGGATGTGGGGGTGTGGGTGTGGGTGCGTGTGGGTGTGGGTGCGTGTGGGTGTGGGTGCGTGTGGGTGTGGTTGCGTGTGGGTGTGGTTGCGTGTGGGTGTGGTTTGAGTGCAGACAGATACACCCACCCCACACCCACACCCCACGCCCACACCACACCCAGCCACACCAGACCCACACCCACCCACACCCTTCTAGAGTTGTTTTGAAAAATTGATAAAGTTACTATTTCGAACAATAGGGAATATCATTGTTTGAGAGTTGATTAATGCTTAACAATCCGCAAGATCTACTATAGAGATCATGAAGTTGTGAAACAAACTTATTTACCTATTAATTCAATGATTCTAAAATAAGAACGTTAAATTTGCAAAAACGAATAGAAATAAAGAAAAAGTAATGAGCAAATGTTAGAATGCGAACAGAAAACAGAACATTCGTAGAAGAAAAAGCTTCAATTCGGAAAACTCAAATGAAAAACGTCCTTACTCTGGTTATCGATTAACCTGAAAAAGAATTATAGTCTACAAGAGATTTTTCGCGTCACATATTTTGTATTAGTTTCACAAGTCGAGACAACATATGTGATTTCCACATTTCAGTCTGAAAGCAGATGCGCTGACAAACTTTTTTTTCTTAGATATCATTCAGAAAAACGCATTCAGATTCATGCGGACTGATAACATATCTATGATTGTGTTCAGGAAATCTCAATATGTCCCCTAGTATTTGGTAGGTTCTTCATATTTTCAAAATTAACTCTCATTATTATGTAATAATTTAGTTTTGTGCTTCAAAAATTGAAAAAATAAAATTTAGAGATATTAAAATGTAAGTCAATTTCTATTAATAGCCATTTAGTTTCTCAAGAATTGATCATATGATTTTTATTTTTTCATAGCTTTGTAGCGGCAACATTTTTGTACCAGAAAAGCCAAACTTTTTTTTCATGAGAATTTTCGTAAAAATGAAAAAAACAAATTAAAGGCATGAAGGGTGAGTTGAAAAAAATGTTCTTTTCTTGTGTTTTCTCATTTTCAACGGTAATCGGCCAAATCAGTTAATTTTTTTTCTCATTTTACATGGACAGATAGAGTAAAGTGAGACGAACATTTTTTGTGTCAGACTCAACTCATGAAAACCAACTCGAAAAGTGCTAGAGGTTTTGCAAGTTCTCTCCAGCTAAAATTGCTGGGATGATCCGAATTACCCCATATGGTGTAATTCGGATCATTTTTTTAGGGCGCTCGCCATTTTTTTTAAAACTCTACAAAAAAATGAATTTTTTTAAAATATTTTTACATGATTCGATAGAAAACACTCTGAGCTCTCTGTTGGCAAAAAAATCTTTTTTTGTCACATGTAAAATAGTTGAGTTATAGCTAAAATACAACGATTTTTTTTTACTGCTCCGAATTACACCAGACGACTATATATGCTTTAATATGATGACATTCATTTCTTGATAATTGATATTTAATTAAATAGTACAAAACAACTTCGACAAGAAGTGTAACTTTGGCACGACATATATATATATGTTTATTCTTTCTTACCATTTCTTCTTGATATGTATGACTTTATGTGGGGTGAAGTACTTTCTTATAAAGTGGAACAACTTCCCCCATCGACTGGTCCAATTGTCCACTCTTGAATTTTACTATCTAGTGAAGGAAGTAGAGGTACCTGAGATGTCGACATCCATTTCGACTCATTCATTAACATTCGATGAAGTATACTAAGATGAAAAGAGTCATGAAAGGTTTCAGATTCATGATGTAGTGGTCAGAAATAAGGGGTGTTTTTCTGAAATTTTGCCTATAAAAGGATTGAATAATTATTAGATGATCATGAAAGTTTCAACGAAAACGAACCGTCTTTCTCGAGATGTATAATTTCCAAATAGAATAATACGTAGATCATGGTATGAACATATGGGAAAGAGTTTTTTTTTAATTCAATGTCATGAGAATGACAAGTTCATTCTCGTTGAAACCTTGGGAAATATTTCATGCATGTGAAGTTTATCCGTAGACAAAATTACAAGTCAAAATTCTTCCCTTTTCTTACTTAGTAATATCTTTCTCTCAATAAATATCGCAGTAAAACAGTCATAACTCTTCGCTAATATGCTACGAGCTCGAACGATTCTGAATTTTTTCTTAACTTACTATATTCTGTTGAACAACGTACGATTGAGTCACGGCAGAAATGCGTACTAGAAATACTTTCCTCTTCAGTATGAGATATGATTGGTGTGATTTGTGTATGGTCGAGAGATTATTTATGTTTAAGGAAAATTAATATTAAGGACATTTATTAAAAAAAAAATGAAGAAAAGAGTATGATACTATTTCCTTCATAAACTTAAGCTACAATAAATAGATATAGAACGAAATGGTCAAGTATATAGTTTTGTTGTTCTATCATTTAAATGACTTGTCATCAATAGTAAGGTCTTCTTGGTGGATATCTAGGATAGTGTCCCGGATACCTATGACAACCTGGTCGACGACCACCAGGAGGATAAAATGGACCAGGACTATAAGTGGTAGTAATCGGAGGAACTGGATACGGTTGTGCTCGACGACCTCCTCGGTTACCCATTTATGTGTTTCGTACGTAGAAAGCTTGATAATGTGTTTGTTTGCAAATGAAAAGAACTGTAAAATGTAATTATTTTTATATGTGGACAAAAAA